GACTCCACGGTGGTCGAGCAGCTCTTCCAGAACAGATGCTGCACGGCGGTGTGACGCCCCCGGGATCCTCGGAGGGAGACGCCGACTGCAGCCACGCGCAGGAACAGCTGCTGCGAACCAGCCGAGGAGGAGGAGGAGGAAGAGGAGGAGGAAGAGGAGGAGGAGGGAGTCCATAAACTTGTACAAAACGACCTTTAGCTCCTGATGGTGATGATGTGAGAAGGCGCGGCTGCAGGTAGATCGTAGGCGTGTCCACATGTGCAGTAACTCCTCAAACCGTCACATCTGTCTGCACGGCCATCTGCAGATGTTTCCAGATGTTGACGCCGCTGCTCTAACCGCCCTGCAGTCGAGCTGAGCGGTTGAGGATCAGGGTAACGCTTCATGTTGGTCTTCTCCCAGATGAGCTAAGCGGCACCTGATCGATGTCGAGTGTCGTCTCCTGGTTTAAGGCCGATGTGACGCGCTACCCCTCTCCCACGCTGACTCCTCCCCTCCCGTCGTGCCACAGTACCATTATGTATGCTGACAATTAGCTAACCATGAAAACGCTCGGCTTTACTTTTAACGTAGTCCCTTTTTTATGTAGGAATCTTTTAGCTTTGTGTGTCTGCATGCTTCTGATTTATGATCAAAGCTTCCAGGAATCCACCGATGATCCGGGATTGAGCGTCCGATCTCCCCTCAGTCCGTCTCCTCGGGTACCTCCGGACCTCTCAGCGCTGCTGGAGGAAGTCCTGTTCGGAGTCAACGCGACGGAGAGCGGGACTTCCTGAGGAGCGGTCTATAAACCAGAGTGATGCTGGAAGAGGCGCACGGGGACGAGCCGCCTCTGAACATGACTTCTGCGATCGGGTCTTCTGTCCTGCTGTTTTTGTTTGTAACAGCTGAGCAGCGATCGGCTTGTCAGTCTGGAGGAAGCAGAGAAAACCTTCAGTGACTCATCGACCTGCTGAGTTTGTGCTGTTTGGGGTTCAGACTAAAAAGCTAAATTGTGAACGATGTGGTTTAATTTGAAGTAAAAACATGAACACTAGGTCTGTGGATTAAAGTGAGAACACTGAAGTCTGAAGCAGGTCGTTGGAGCCCTGAAAGCTTTCTCTGCTCGACAGACGTCTGATTGTGATTTAAAGCCGGTTAGATTTCAGCTTTTATTGTCCTTT